ATGCACTAATAAATGTTTCTGTAGGAGTTGTGTTAGCAATGCTGTAGTTTATTGTTACCATTGGACAGACAGAGGCTCAGAAATTTGATCAAAACCCAGCCACACCTATAGAACAGATAACATCATGGAAATATCCCTGAAACACTACACACTTGCCAAACCTATTTCCTTCCACCAAAACATAGCCTTTCCTTTGGCTCTGCCTTGATCCTAGAGTGTTTGTCTTCTCTTTTCTATAGGTCCAGTCTTTTTTAAAAATGTGTTTAGTACATGGTTTCACTACACAGATCGGACTTCTAGGGATTCTCCTGTTTTCAGCCTTCCAAGCGCCGGGATTACAGGTGGGCGCCGCTACACCCTGTCTCATTCACCCTGTCATCTTACACAAGGAGCAGAACCAGAACTGCAAGCCAGGGATTGAATTCCAGTCTCTGAGTCTACCTGAGTAGGCACTGTGGTCTGCTGAGCTATCTGGTCGACCCTATTGGAATTTTCTTGATACCTTCACAGCTCAAACGAGATGTGCAGAACTGCACCAGGGAAATTGTAATTTCTCAAATGTGGAGTGGTCTGAGGCCTGGACAGCAAAGCAATATATATTATGTATACATAATGTCTGGCAAATAATGATGACTTTCTTTGTGGGTATTTGGTATAAAATGCACTGCATCTACATTCCTATCTGCATCCTACACTACACACCTTCTCTCTCCTCATCTCTTGATCTAACACAATTTTTGTATATAGTTGCAGGACATAATGCTAACATTCCCGTGTGTAGTGGATACTCATATATGACACATCTGAAAGCCTATTTTCATCACCTGTCACTCTCTTTAAAGTGAGGTAGGAGTATGACCTTCAAAAAGAGAGAAATTTATCTCCATTTCTAGATTCCCTTTCTTTTGAGACATGCCTATCTCCCCAGTTCAGCTCCCATTCCTTGGGGAGTGTGTCTCCTTCACCTGCACTGAGCTTCAGGACAAGATCCTCAGCCATCTTACATCCCTGAGCCAGATGTTGTATGCGGCCCTGATCACAGTAGTCTTTGGGGTCATCTTGGGTGAGCAGAAACTCCAGATGCTGCTCAAGGGACAAAGAGGCATCTCTCCCTTCTCGAAGCTGCTTTCGAAAGTGGGTCAGCTTCTTGGCATGATGATGAATTATGCTAGAATATTTCCTAAGAGAGGTAGATAGAAAGGAGAAAAGGATAGTGGAAATGATTTGAAATTAATCATGGGGACTCTGAGAGAGATTTCTCTGAATATATCCCAGTAGAACCCTTCAAATTGAAGGATGCCACATGCAGCGTGAACA